TTGCATGTGATAGAAGACAGTGCTATTGCAACTGACAGTCTGCCTTGCTGTCCTCCACCTTGCCTCCTCTGTCAGTGCCCAGATGATGAGGACGTGGCTGTCCTGGCTTGAACCAAGGACTGACCTGCAAAAGTTTGACTTGAAGATGTCCCAGGGTCCATCCCAGCTCTTGGTGCTTGGGGAAGTCTGGCTAGTGCCCTCAACTCGTGTGGGTCAGGGGACACAACTCTCAGCCTGTCCCTCATGGCTCTCCCAAGACATGACACCACACCATGGGGGTCTCTGGTGCTCCTTGCAGCATGGATAAAACCAGGGCCTACCATGGGCTATTTGCCATTGATGGCATTTCACAAGAGCCAGGAAAGCCAGCCTTCCCAGGGGAGCACCAAGTGGACTGGTCTCTTCTTGGGACCATGTTGTTCCTCAGTAGCCTTGTTATAGGTTCAGGCACCTCTTTGTGCTGGCAATGGACTTTGTGGCTCCTTTTCTATGTGTTCCACACTGAACCCTGGCACCAGACTTGGTATTTCAGTTCCTGAAGGTATCTGCAGGTGTGAAGTTTGTGCAGGATATGGTGCAGATGGTCCAAGCTCACATCTGCACCGTGTGTAGGTATAAGAGCAGTGTCTCCATGGAGGGCAAGTTAAGCATCAGCATGGGAATTACAGCCTGGGATTTACAGCTTAGCTGGGACCATGTGTGCAGCTCTGCTTGTCACTGGTGTTTTCCTGAGCACCCCACCAGTTTGCATCACTGTGATGAGACAGTTTTCAGGCTGCCACAAATAGTGGTTGTCATGATGAGAAGGTGGATGGGCCATGCCACAGTGTCTCAGTGTCCACTGAAGGTTCCTGAGATAAAAGGAGTCTTGGGGTGGCCAGATTCCTGTGTCTGTTTAGCCCCAACAGAAGTGAGAAGGAGACTCTACTAGGGAATGAGTCTGTCCATGGGATGTATGAGTTTCCTGGCACTTCCTTTCCCCCAAGTTTAGAAGTGTAAAAGCTCTTCTGGCTTCTGCCATTCATCTCTTTGGAAGAAAGATGCTCAAATGATGTCTAACCCTTGATCTAACCAGGGACAGAGTGGATTCCTATTCTGCCTTTAGAGGAAAACCCCTACTTTGCCCTCTTTCAGGATCATCAGAAGCAGAGATACTTTGAGGAAACAGCTCTAAGGACTTTCCAGATCTTGGCTGTGGTTAATTCCCTTTCCTCTACAGTTTATTTTATTTCTCATTTCCTTTGAGCTGATGTCACACATTTCCTCTTCCCTAGTGACACTGCAGTCGTGCTGCACTTGTTCCCATTCTGGTGTCTTGTTCTTCAGAGCTGCCTGTGTGGAGACCTTCCAGTCCCAGGTCAGAGAAAATAACACCTGGAAGACAGGTGGAGCATCCTCAGTAAAACACCCATGACTGCTCTAGTGAAGCTGGACACATCGTGCTGACTCCTTTGGACTGTGGTAAGCAGAAAATAGTGTTTATTGGTACTGGTCCTCTTGGGATGTACTTTTGCTGATGGCTTAGCTTGTGTTAGCATGGTCTGTGCACCCTGCAGCCATAGGACAGTCAATCATTGCTGGGAGAGCGTGGCTGCACAGCTGGGCACTTCCACCTCTAGTTCTGCATAGAACAGAGTTAATAGTATAAACCCTCTGGGGTGATTGCCTGGGGTGCTGGTGGACAAGGCAGGGGCTTGGGCTGGAGCTGCCAGGGATTTGGGCAATGCAGCACAGACTGTTGCAGCAGAGAACTGGACTCACCTGCCAACCACACCCTGGGCACTGCTCCTCTTCTCCCTTCCGCTGGCATGGGGAATAGGGACACGTTTTATACAAAGGGGAACTGCTCCAGCTGTGACTGAGTGAGATCCTCCAGAGCCTGGGGCTTGGAGCACCCCACAAGTATCCCAGAGGCATGAGCTTGAGCTCCTCAGGCTGAAGAGGGAGGTGAGTATTGAGTACATTTAGTGGGCATTGGTGCCACACTCTCTTCCAGATGTATTTTGTAGAGTATCTGGCTTGTCAAGCAAGAAGGGAAAAGCAACTCTCTTGTGATTCCCTGGAGGTCCTTGACATGGGCACTGCACAGCCTCCCACTGTAAGGACAGATGAGCTTTACCAAGCTATTGGGGCCAGGAGATGGCATTGCCACCTCCTTCAGCCCACCTTTGCCAGTGATTTCTAGCAGGCTTAACAAGGTAGAGCATGTCCTTGCATTCATCTCTCTAAGTCAGAGCACAGCCCCTTTGCTCAAACCCATCTTCTGGTCAGGGCTTTGCAGCGAAGAGGAACATGCAGGTTCACCCTCCCTTCTACCCCATCTGCTAAATCTGGCAGCTGGTGGGAACCCACCAGGAAAATTCACCAGAGCTCTTGGGCAAAGTTTGGAGGCTGCCGTGCCCATGCACAGCACTACAAACAGAGAGGGAGGTGGAAAAGGCCCCATGGCACAGACTCAAGGGACTTTGTGAGTTAACAGTTGCACCTCAGTGTTGGATGTGGACACTTCTCACTAAATTTGCTAGTGGGATGAACCAACTTAACCCCCCCAACTCTTGGTATATTCAGGCCTGGTGCTACTGTAATAGAGTAGTTTTCCTTGCAGATTCCAGCCCCAAGCACAGAAATATTTGCTGAAGTTGGCAGATGGTCAGAACAGTGGCTTTATGATGCAGATTTGAAAAAAACTTTTCTCTAATGATCTTAGGTAATTAGGACTCTTTTTGTTTGTTTGGTTGGTTGGTTTTTTTCCCCTATGGTAACAGAATAATGTCCCAAACACAAAGTTCCCCACTGGTTTCTCTTGCCCTTGCACAGTCTCACCGCTTCCCTCAATGTCTGCAGCTGGTGGGTGCCCTCCTGAGCTGAGAGCTGCAAACCCTTCCAACTGGTGCATGTGCCTCCATGGGTGAGACAGCCAGGCTTAGACACAGGCATATAAGGCCATATTGTGACAATTACTAGTTTTCCTCTGTAGATGAAGGTTTGGAAACAGATCCATGAGGTGACCAGTAGGACTTGCTGTGGGTCCTGCATGAGTCAAAGGTAGATCAGGGAACAGAGTGTGGGCCCCTGCCTGCTCTGGGACCTCTCTGCAGGGCAGCAGGGGGTGACATGTTACTCCTCAGGGATGTGGCCAGATCAGAGGTGTCGTAGCCCATCCCCACCTCCTGGCTATCACCACCTGAACCAGCTCCTTGAGAGGTCAGTGAGATCTCAGCAGGGTGGCACAGGTCAAGGTAAAAGAGGACAGATACGTGTCACCTGGCCAGCTACTAGTACTGTCACAGCTACTTGTTAGTTCACATGGAACATGGTTTAAAGACACTCATCCTGCAGTGCTGCCCAGCATGCAGCAGCCTGTGAAGGTCCAAGGACAAGCTGTGGATATCTGTGTTGTCATGTTCTTAGGGGACCTGTGAGGGGTAGGAGGGACAGGCTCAAGAAGACAGCTGTTCCTTCCTGTCCAAACAAGTGGAAAGAAGCACCAAGGGGTATGCATAGTTTTCTGAAGAAAGGGAGTGCTTTCTTGAGCTAGAGCTGAGTTCCCTATTTGCAGGGGAAAATCTCAAATGTGCAACTGTGTAAATGAGGAACCAGCACACGGGTACAAGAAGAGACTGAAGCCAGAGAGGCTGGCTTCAGTGGGATGAGGGTTCATGCCATTGTCTGCTGTTGAGGAAGATCTGCCTTCTCAGGAGGCTGCAGGCTTTGAGGGAAAAGGCCTGTTGGGTGGGCTGGCAGAGCTGTGCAAGCACCCAGTGCTCCCCTTGTAGCTCACACAATAAGTTCAGGCTTCCACCATTCCCTGGTGGTACACTCTACTCACTCTCAAGGGAAACCACCATGTTGTCTGCAAATTAGGTTAAAAAAGCAGCAAGTTTCCATCAGTGAGAAGCCCTGTTCTTCTTGCTGGTGGCTCAAACTGCTTTACCTGCATTAGCCCATTATCTTCCTGTGAAGGAAGAGGGACAGAAAAACAAGCAGATCTGCAGGGCTGTGTCATGAACAGGTGGCTGCCCAGCATCAGGAGCTGGCACTGGAGCCAAGGACAGGCCTGTACATTCTCTGGATGGTAACAGCAGCAGGTTAAAGTATACAAGGGATTTGACTGTGTCCATGTAAATCTGAGACAAGAACATGTACAGTATTGATGACGCAGGGATTTGATATGTCCAAACTGCAGGCAGGATTTGAAGAAATACAAACTGAGGTGGAGACTGGTAATATGAAAAACCAGGCAGTGTCTCTTCAGGGACAGTGTTTGTCAGCAGCCTCACCAGTGACACAGGAAAGCACAGAACTGCTGCTGCTGCTGACACTTGCATTTGATGCAGGAATGGTAGGGGGAAAAAAAGTGAGACAGATGGTTTAAAACCAACTTGAATTCAAAACGATGGCATGACAGAAAACAGCCAGGACTTTAAGAGAGATCAACTGTAGTTAAATATCACCAGTGTTCCACAAAACATCACCCTTCAGGATTAGTGACTTGGCTATGATATTGTTCACTGAATAAGAAGATTGAGAGCTCTGGTAGCCTAAGAAGTGAATGTGAGACCCTCTGGTGCCTGCAATCAAGAAAGCAAATAGAATACTTACAAGTCTAAGAAGGGAAATGTCAGAAAACAACAAATAGAGGATGACTGGAAATGACATGTGTGAGACATTTTTACCAGCTATTGTTTCACTTGTGGAATTTCTCAGTAAAGATAAATGTGGGCAAGTTAGAAAGCCTTAAGAACCAGAGGAGGGAAAAGAGACCTAGAAAACCTTTTTGCTTATAGGAAAAGATTAGGGGGACAGAGCAGGTGTCCATGGGTGGATCCCAGGCATGGAGCAGCACTTCTGTGACAACATTTCCTGTGGAAAATGAAAGGTCAGGTGTGGCTTAGCAGTGTCACCCTTACCAACCAGCTCATCTCATGCTTCATGTTTTTAGGTAAGAAGAAAAACGACAGCACGAAATTCTGCTTTGTACGTGCCCGCTCAGCACCATGATGTCTGGAAAGGGTAAAGGTGGGGCTGATGGTGCTAGTGTTTCCAACATTTCATGCCACATTGACTCAGAGTTTCGCTACAACCTCTTCACCGTTTTCTACAGCATCATCTTCATCCTCGGCTTTGTTGCCAACTGCTACGTGCTCTGGATTTTCAGCCACATTTACCCCATGAAGAAACTCAATGAAATCAAGATATTCATGGTGAATCTGACAGTAGCTGACCTGCTTTTCTTGGTTACGATGCCAATGTGGATTGTTTACTATCACCACCATGGGGACTGGATCATGCCTGAGTTCCTCTGCAGCGTGGCTGGCTGTTTATTTTTCGTTAACACCTACTCCTCTGTTGCCTTTCTGATGGTCATCACCTACAACCGGTACCAAGCTGTGACTAACCCCATTAAAGCTGCTCAGTTAACTACCCAGAGAAGAGGTATCTACTTATCAGCAGCTATCTGGATCATAATAGTGGGCAGCTCTTTGTATTACCTTTTTGACAACAATACTAATCAAGAGAAGATCAATGCGAAGAATTTCACGCGGTGCTTTGAGCGCTACAACTCCTCTGACGGTGTTGCAGCTGTTCTTGCAATTCATGTCATCATTTGTGTCCTCTTCTATATCATTTTCCTTTTCATACTAGGCTGGAACATCATCATTATCAGGACTCTGTTCTCCAAATCAGTGCAGCCAAGGAAGAATGCTCATGTGAAGCAAAGGGCACTCTGGATGGTGTGCACAGTGCTGGCTGTGTTCAGCATAAGCTTCGTTCCTCACCACATCGTGGACCTGCCCTGGACCCTGACAGTTCTGGAGCAGTGGCAGAAGGAAAACTGTCAGTTGCGCCAACAACTCAATGATGCTCACCAGGTGACTTTGTGCCTCCTGAGTATGAACTGTGTGTTGGATCCAATCATCTACTGCTTCCTCACCAAGAAGTTTCAGAAGCATCTTTCAGAAAACCTGAAGAGCATGAAAGGGAGTCGCAAGTGCTCCAGGCAAACCACAGACACAGTGCTGGAGGGCACCATTCACCAGGAGGATGCCATCATGAGCTAGGGCAGCTCTGTTCTGTTTGCAGGCTGAGATGCATGGATTAGTCACTCAAGAAGAGGCACTGAGGGACACAGCAGAGGACCAGGATATGATGTTTCCTTTTTCCCATTAGACAGAAGAATGGACGCTCATTTCTTCTATCATGTGCAACTGGTAGAACTGGAACCTGTAATGATCTGGCAGAAAAGCACCTGCTGGATGGGCTGATGTTCTCACAGCTCAGATAATATGGTTTTACATGAAAGAAGTGTGTCATTGAGTCTCTGCAGTGAGCAGCTAGAAGCTTAGTGCACTGAAATTATCCATTCTGTCAGCCCAGATAGCACTGTCCCTGGTCCTTTGTCTGCCCAGCTCCCAAGAAGCTCCCGGCAGCAGAGCTGTAAGAGATTTCTGAAAGACCTGGAAGAAAAGACTGAGCTGCTAACATCATTGAGTGACTTTTCTAAGAAGCTTGCATGGTTCTGTGAAGATTCTGAGCTGAAGAAGCTCTTGAGTGGCTAGAAGGCACATAGTCCGAGGAGTTCCTCAAAGCCATCAAAGAAGAGATCTGCACCTCTGATCCCCTCTTACCTACTCACATGTTCTGCTGGGGTCCATACTTGACAGATGTCTGGGAGCTGCCATTACAAACTTTTTGCCTTTGCTCCCAGCTCTGGAACCATTCAAGTAACTAGTAAGCAAGACAAGGAAGAGAACTTGGCAGAGCCTCAGTCCCCATCCCCAGAGCAGCATTATGTCCAAAGGGGACTGTTGTCTGCCCTGGCTTCTTGTATGAGAGCTGAACTGGAAAACCAGTGGTCTCTTGCACTCAATTTAGTAATTTTTGGCTGAATCCATGTGTCTGTGGAGATCCAGTCTCACTTTGGAGGCTCCAGATAACAGAAGATTATTGTCAGCACAGACATTACAATAAGAAAAAGCTTAAAATGCTTCAGCATCTTATTTATTTAAATGTGGGTTGCAGCAAGCAACTGTACCTCATTCTGTACCCCAGCTTTTCTATTTCTGCTGTGAAGAGGTGAAGCTGACTAGTTCTTGAGAGCCTACCAAAAGTGAAGCCATAGGTCAGGTCGTGGCTGCTTTCTGAGCACATCAGTGATGCCAGACGTGTCACTCATGCACTCGGGCAAGCCTGGAACCTCCTGGCTCAGGGCTGGCTGCCTGCACTGGGGCCCAGGGCAAAAGGGTTTCTCAGGGCTGCTGAATTCTCTTACCAATCACGAGATACTTGAGGTTCCTTTTGTGCCCCAAATTGCTCAATCCAGCACAGGAAATTGGGTGGGGAAGGGAACTTACTTGTTTTCGTAACAGCTTTTTTAGTTCCCTAAGCGACGCAGGAGAGTCTGGTTGGCAACAGAAGCCTGACCTGTGACATTATTAGTATGCAGGGCAGCAGCTCTCCCACACCCCCCAGAGCATTACAAGGCAAACATGGAAGATCTCAAGTCTTTTCAAAGATAGGATGAATGTTTGTATCAGATTTTGCCTTTATTCCATGGAGATACAGGTCCAACATGTCCTATCTATCTCCTGAAGATCCTCAGGGAGCTTTTCTACTCACCTGTACTAATGACCACAAGAAGTAAGATGTTTCTTTCTCTGCTGCCACGTGCCAGGGCCACCCACGTGCTGTGTCCAGTGCCAGAGGAAAGAATCCAATCACAACGTGACTTCATTTCCTTCCTGGTCCTATAAAGGCCACCCATAAAAAAACACCTGCTGGCACCTCTTAGCAGAGAAACTCCCTCCCTGTCCAAAGCTTTGCCCTTGAATCTGCAGTTATCCAAGCCCCAGCACACAGCCAGGAGGGCAATTTCTGTCATGGAAAAGCTGAAATCCCACTTGCTGGAGGAACCTGCCCCTGCCCTCCCCAGATGGCACGTTCTGAGGAGCTCCTGGAGCTGCAGGTGGTGTGGAGCTTTCCTCTCCTCCCCTTGCCACGGTGGAGCTCTCTTGCTTCACAGTCCATAGAGCACTGAGCAGTGTGACAGCTCTTAGGGGAAATGGAACGGGATTTTACAGGCAGGTATTTTAAACATGTGATCCTCTCCTACTGATTCCGGGTAAGCTTGCAAGAGAGTTGACAATTTTGGCTACTTACTGTGGGTAAATAAGATGCTTTACTCCACAGAAAACAGCTGAAAGGCCAGATGGACTCAGACAACGAGTGTGAACTTGCATCCAAGGAAAAGTAAGTGGAGGAAGAAGCCCTGAGGGCACTTGAGGAGGTTACGTTGCAGTCATTAAGTCAGTAACAATGTGCTTCTAAAAACCAGTCTGAGCTTCTGCTTCTGTTCCTGGAATTACTTTCTGGGTTTTACCACAATGCTGCACTACTCTGCTTTACTTTACAATAAGATGGATCCTCAAAAGTTCTTTTAAATAAAGCCTGTTTCCCAAATGATTTGCCCTTTAACTTCTCATCTTTCTGCATTTACACCCAAGGGAAAACCCTCAGTACCAGCTTGATTTTTTTGGTGCTATTTGTTTTTAAGAAACACCAAGTGAACTCTTGGGAGAGGTGAAATTAAAGGCTGAGCAAACATTTACATGCGAGAAAGGGGAAAGAAACAACTTCAGAGAGGAAACAACTTCTGGAAAAGCTGCTCTTCAAAACCTGAGAGCCCCCAGCTCTGCCCAGCACCGACGGGAGCTGCACCTCGGTGGGCGCTGGGCTGGGCAGTGACCAGGGGCTGCCCGGGAGGTGCTGGAGCCCCCGCCCCTGCGAGTGGTTAGAAGAAATACAGATGCAGTGCACAGGGACGTGACTTAAGCACTGAACGGTTATGGCAGGGGATTTAGGTTATGGTTGGACTTGATGATCTGCGAGGTCCAACCAGGATGGTTCACAGACTCACCGAGGCTGGAAAAGACCTTCAGGATCATCAGCTCCAGCCCGTGACCTGACACCGCCACATCGCCAGAGCAGGGCACCAGGTGCCACCTCCAGCCTGTCCCGGAGCACCCGCAGGGACGGCGACTCCCCC